AAATAAAACTTTTCTCATTTTGAACTACAGGTGCCTTTACTGAGGGCCCATTCAGACCGGCCGTCACCCGCACTATTGACGACTACTGCAAACACGAAGGGTTTATCCCGGGACCCGATCCCACCTCATACTACAAGTGTGAGTACGTACCCGACCAGTGCTGGAATAAACACCTGGAACACTGTCCAGATGGTGGTACTTGGGATGAGGTCACTCGACAATGTATGTCAACCAGAATAGTCTTTATTAAATATAATCTTTATATAAATTACATATATTTATATGTAATTAAATGACCAGGTAAAGCTAAACCAACACTACCGCCCACACCGACAACACCACCGCCCACTCCTACTACTCAGTCCCCGACCACCCAGACTGCTGGACATACAACCAGTAGTATCGACTACTGGTGCTCAAAGGACGGTTATATGCCACACCCCAGTGATCCACATGAATACTTCCAGTGTGAATGGATCCCCGGCAAGGGCTGGTACCTCCATTTGCAACACTGTCCCGGTGTGACCAAATGGGTTCAGGTGGACAAGAAATGTGACGGCGTGTAAACATGATATCTACCCCAGTATGTAAACACAATTTTGATAACCCCATTTCCATCTAATTTGTTATATGATAATTGTGGACATAATTCATAATTATGTATAAAATTGTAAATGATTTCATATGTTTACAATAAAATAATATTCAAATAATTTCGAAACATTAACCTCTTCTCATTTAAAACTGAATATGTATATAGTACTAAACACCAAGGCACATTTGATTAAATCTTATATTCAAAAGGTTAAAGGTGATTGTAGACATTGTAGGAATACTAATAGGACACGCTATGAATTGCTATTATTATATCATATTCAAATTAGGAAAAGTTTAATTTTATAGCATGGCACTTACATCAAAATAATATTCTAAATATCGGTTTAATAATCATTGTCATTTCTATTATAATTAACTACTCAATAATATTGTTATATGGCATTAGTTAACTTAGGATATATAAATCATGTATTGCTTTACAGTATATAAAAATTAAATTATTTCTTAAAATATTAATTTCAATATTTTAGAAAGCTAACAGAGTATACAATAAGGATTTCTTATTAAGGATTATAATACTTTATGAGGTAAATAGCATATCTGGATCATTTTATACCATATTTCACAAGGTTTTGATAGACTAATAAGTATATCATTTCTACATAAGTACACTGATATTAATATTTAAACATAAATTGAACAAACAATTTAATTAGACATTAATCCCATTGACATAGGTGTACGGTATTAATAAATAAGATATTAATTGAATCACTTAAACATTAAACATTACAATCAATTTATCAGAATATTCTTATATAGGAGAAAAACATTAATTACTAATTTCTATGTATTTACAGTACTTTTTCTGAAAATTTCTCAATGTTTAATCAATTAATTATCAGTTGAAGTGTGTTTATGCGAATGAATCGAAGTACCTGTGATTCATAATGATTTTGGAAAGTTAATTTTAAAAACTAATTATTGTTTGAAATGAAACCAGACACTTTTATAATTTCTAAAAGTGTGGGAAATGGACTATCAAAAATCTTCTATCTAGTTATTGTATTAAATAAGAATACGATCAAACAACGGGATTTTCGTTTGAATAATATAATCAGTTTGATCAGGAATTCAATTATAAATAATCTAGTATAGATAATCTTTGCAATGGTTTCAAGTGCTCGTATTTCGGCTTACATTGTGAAGGACAACATCCACTCGCTATTTAAGCAATCGATTCAGTAATTGAGACAATAGTTTGTGTTTTGTATAGTTTTGGGTCACATTCTGTATACCAAGAAATGGCAAAACTTTTCTTATTAGCGGCACTATTGGGTGCCGTAACAATGTGTCAGGGTATGTATTCATTCGTTACATACAATTCAAATGAAATAAAATTTCATTTAATTTGGTACTACAGGTGCCTTCACGGAAGGTCCGTTCAGACCGGCGGTCACCCGCAGTATTGACGACTACTGTAAAAAAGAGGGATATATTCCGGGTCCCGATCCGTACTCATACTACAAGTGTGAGTACGTACCCGACCAGTGCTGGAACAAACACCTGGAACACTGTCCAGATGGTGGTACTTGGGATGAGGAAACTCGACAATGTATGTCAAACATGATATACTCTATTAAATGAACTAGATCAAGTTGTCTTTATATGAATTAGAAATATATATTTGTTGAATACCCAGGTAAAGCCAAACCAACCACTGCAGCCCCAACCACGACAACAACTACCACCACAACCACCACAACCACAACACCTAAGCCCACACCCCCGCCCACCACTACCACTACTACACCTAAGCCCACACCGCCGCCCACCACTACCACCACCCAAGGTGTCGACTACTGGTGTTCTCGGGACGGATATATGCCACACCCGAGTGACCCCCATAAGTACTTCCAGTGCGAATGGATTCCGGGCACCGGTTGGTATCTCCACGACAGGACGTGCCCCGGTATCACCAAATGGGTTCAGGCAGATAAGAGATGCGACGGTGTATAACATGATCTCTACCCCCAGTATGTAAACACAGTTTGTTATACCATTTACATCTAATTGGTTGATAATAATTGTAGACATAATTGATAATTATGTATAAAATTGTAAATGATTTTATGTGTATTCAATAAAATCAAAATTCATATAATTACTATCAGTTTGATTTCATTTAGGAGTATATTATAGAAATAATATTTATAGGGAAGTAATAATAAACCATTGATTAAACTTTATATTCAAGTTATTAAAGATAAGATTTACTTCTATAGCAGATTCTATAAACTGCTATTAGTTTTCATTTTTATCTATTAATTGGTACTGTCGCTTTTTATATTATTTAATATAATACTTTACACTGTAATATGATTGAATTTTTCTACTGTAGTTAAATCAAAAATTTTTAGAAACCATATAAAGTGAATCAGTGATTCAGAATCACAATAAAATTTAAAAGCAATTTTAAAATCAACCATTAATTATATAATATAAAATAATAGTACAATATCACTCGATATTTGAAAGTATGAAATACTGTATGTAAACCAGGGATAACAGGATTTAATACATGTAAGTTATAGGAAACTATAAAATACTATAAAAATTTATATGATTGTTTTAAGAATATTCTAGAAGTAAATTACAGTATTATAATCAGTGTTTAGACATTAATCTCATTATAGAATAGAAATAAATTAATTAAATAAGTTGCTAGTGAATAATGAAATCTAATTGAATGAGTTAAGTAAATAATAAGAAATTGTCAATATAAAAAAGTATTAATTTCCTAGAATTTTCTTTTGAACTACATTTTGTCTAATCATTTATTTATCAATAAAAATATATTTAGGTTTAGAGATCAAAGTGTCTGTCATTCATAATAATAATACAATAGAATTAATTATTTATAATACAATAATTATTGTTTTAAAATTAGATCAAATTAAATTATATTAGCAGTATAAGAATCGCTAATAAAAGTATGATGATGGATTAAATGAATATACATTTAAGTCTATGTAATGTGAATTGAATGTAATATTGGAATGATTCGACATTAAAATAATCACAAAATGGGATTTAAGTTAATCCCGAAAAGATATCTTTTGAAATGATTTCAAGTGTTGGTATTCGTCTCACATTCCGAAGGACGACATCGTCGACAGTATTTAAGCCATGATTTGAGACAATAGTGTTTTGTATAGATTTTGATCGTATAGACCAAGAAATGTCAAAACTTTCCTTATTAGCAGCACTTTTGGGAGCGGTAGTCATCTGCCAGGGTTTGTATTCATTCGTTACATACAATTCAATTCAAACAATTCATATTTCTATTTGAACCACAGGTGCCTATACTGAAGGTCCGTTCAGACCGGCGGTCACCCGCAGTATTGACGACTACTGCAAACACGAGGGATATATTCCGGGTCCCGATCCTTATTCATACTACAAGTGTGAGTACGTACCCGACCAGTGCTGGAACAAGCACCTGGAGCACTGTCCCGAAGGTGGCACTTGGCACGAGGAAATCCAACAATGTATGTCATCCACAATATTCTCTATTAAATATAGTCTTTATATGAATTACTTAATAACCAGGTGTAATACCAACCACCACAACCACAACTACGACCACCACCACAACTACTACCCCGGCCCCTACCACTACAACTACTACGGAAGCCCCTACCACTACAACTACTACGGAAGCCCCTACAACTACAGCAGCTCCAACCACCACTAGTATCGATTGGTGGTGCTCTAGGGATGGCTATATGCCACACCCCAGTGATCCTCATGAATACTTCCAGTGCGAATGGATTCCAGGGACGGGATGGTACCTCCATTTGCAACACTGTCCCGGTGTTACTAAATGGGTTCAGGCGGATAAGAGATGCGACGGTATATAAGTAAATTCATCCTGCTATTTTAACTCAGTTTATGATACATTATCCATTTAATTTGGTATCTATAATAGTAGACATAATTTATAATTATGTATAAAATTGTATATGATTTTATATAATGTGTTCAATAAAAGCATAATATTATAATAAATGTGATATACCTGTAGTTTATTTAATTTTAGTACAGAATACTGTATAACATGAGTGAATAAATTATTGCAATATTTTTTTTATTGATTTACATTGCATTGCAGTCAATTGTCTTATCACTAATAATCACTTAAAGTAGTTCTCAATAAATAAGTGTTTATAAACTACTATGGGTTAAACAAACATATAAATACGAGTGGGAAAGGGGTTAAAAAGTTGACATTCAATAAAAAAAGATAAAATAAACTCTCACTTCAAATAATAGACTTTATTCTCAATACCAAAGATTTGAATGAAGATTTCACAGAATGGTATACAGAATAACGATTGTGTGTTAAATGAGTAGTAAATTCATGTTAATGTAAGTTTTCAAAAACTAATTAATAATAGAAATAAAATATGTAATATATTTTCCTACACTTATATTAATTATCAATATAAGCCCTTCATAAATATTAACTTAATGATAATCCACAATTAAATGATATCCAGTAAAATAAAAGTTAATTTAAAACTTTTCCTAAAGTTTTTATAATAAAATCCATTTCTCAATGAAATCTAATAGATGTCTCGCTCTTAAAAGCCATTTAAACGACGATTCAGTACTTTATAACACAACGATGCCAATGAAAGTAACGCACATAAAAGGTATCAAAACAGTGACACATAAACAGTGACTGAATTGTAAATAAACGAGTCATTCATGAAATGAGGAAATGTTTTGAGTTTTCATCAGTTTTTCAATCATCTGTTCAACAGATCCCAAGCCATGGCTGAACTCAAGAACAAAGACCCGGAGCTCATCACAAACACCATCGCTATTGTCGGCCATTTGTTCGTGAACTACGGGTGGTATGTGTTGACCGTCATCATCATCGGTGTCCTCGTTTACCACAAGTTCTTGCGTCCACTTTGGGATCAAATGGCTGAACGACGGGAACGCATGAGTGAGGGTTAGTGTCCGCTCACATCTCCATTGAGTCCATGGTATCAATTGATCCCATTGTCATCCAAACAGATCCGGACGCGAGTGCCAGACGTCAGGAGCAGATGGATGCGGCCCGTCGTCGACAGCAAGAGATTTACGACAAACAGAGACAGGAATCCGAGCGCAAAGAGCAGGAGAAGCAGACGGAGAGACAGAGACAGAGGAATGAAGTGATCAATAGTGTGGACAACAGCGCAGACATCGCCAATGAGTTGCGGAAGAGACAGATGAGGCCATTGAGAGACAACTCATTCAACCCTTTGATGGGCTCTTCGAGCGGCGCTTCCTATCGACCGTCGCGTCCGGCGTGCGGGCCGTCCGGTGGCGGCGGATGAGGTTAAGCGGTCAGCGCCGGACGTTATCGCCATACTTGACATCCGGTGCTGACTGTTATCCATGACTCGCATCAATGCTATTCATATGACGTCTAATTCATAAAGTTTTACACAAAACACGAATTAATGACTGAAGACAATGGCATTGATTTCGATGTCTTTTTGCGGCAATTGTTTTGTATTCAAAGCCAATGTCTTATATTTTGTACATTTGTATAGTTTATGTAAATTAAAAATCAAATCCAATAAAACTTTAGGCAATTATTTATAATTCGTTATCAAATCAAGCGTTTCATTCAATGATTTCATGATTTATGTCTTAAAACTATTCATTCGCACAAAAATCAACAGTAAATGAGATATCAAATGAAAATTAAAGATAAAATATATTTACACGAAATTGACTAAAAAATAATTTCTAAGCTTTGATTCACAAAATAAGATCATCTAATGAGCGAAGTCTTCGTCATCGGCTGCCGTCCACGTCATGAGCGTCGGGTCTACTCCGGCCTCAGCGCCGGACAACAGCTGGTGATGACTGTCATCGAAGCCCGTCTTCAGGTAAATGGCGTTTCTGGACATCCAGTTGGCGCGCAAACTATGCACCGATACGTTCATGTCTTTGAATGCGT